GAGGATACATTAGCATTTTTGCTTTTGTTGGTGCATTCATGCTCTTTATGACCCCACTTGCTTGCAACTAATGCAAAATCGACCATTGTTCTTCACAAAACTAGTCTTGTGAGGAGCAAAGGCCGCCTTGCCTTTCTTGGGGGTATAGCCCAATTCCTCTTTGTAGAGAGAAGCTCTTTGGCTACCCAAACACATAAGCAAGCGGTCCTCACCACCATAGGCCTTAGCTAAAGTATGAGTGAGCTTATTAACCTCCTTCTTGAGATTCTCATTCTCAACCACTAGTGAGGCATCACAAGTGAGACCATCACTACTAGATGAGGTGGAAGTGCAAGTACTACAAGAAGGGTTAGTAGAAGGAACAATGATAGGCAAAGATAATGATTCATCAATTATATCACAAGTTAAACATATATCACAAGTATCAACATGCTTCTTTTTATTTTGCTCATCAAACAAAGAGGAATGAGCCTTTTCAAGCTTTTTGTGAGCTTTACCACGCTTCTCATTGGCTTCCTCTAGCCTCTCATGAGATGCATTGAGCTCATCAAAGGCTTGCTTAAGGGCTTTTAGTTCCTTACGCAAGCTTTTGCATTCCCTTCTCTTGATGTCAAAGTGTTCTCTAGCATTTTCTAGCATGCCAATTAATTCATCCTTAGTAGGTTCATCATCATCACTATCACTATCACTATCATTTTCATTTTCATTTTCATTTTCATCATCTTCTTCATCATCACTTTCATCATCACAAGTTTGTACCTTAGTGGCCTTAGCCATGAAGCACGATGAAGAGTCGAAGAGAGAAGGCTTCTCATTAATAGCAATACTTGCTAGAACCTTCTTAGTGGTCTTGTGATCATCACTATCATCATCATCATCACTTGAGGAAGCATTACTATCCCAAATGACCACATATTAACCACCCTTCTTCTTCTTGAAGGCCATCTTGTCCTTCTTCTCTTTCTTTTCCTTCTTTTCCTTCTTCTTGTTCTTCTTGTTGTCATCATCATTGTCGCTATTGTATGGACATTGAGTAACAAGATGATCTTTGCTTCCACACTTGAAGCATCTTCTTGACTCTTCTTTGTTCTTAGATGAAGACTTCTTTCTTCTAGCATGATAGCCCTTCTTCACCATGAACTTGCCAAATCTCTTGACAAAGAGAGCCATCTTCTCATCATCCTATGAATCATCTTCTTCACTAGATGTTTCTTGCTTGGCTTTGCCCTTAGATGATGTGGCCTTGAATGCCATGCTCTTCTTCTTGTCATCCTTCTTCTCATCTTTCTTCTCCCTCTTTTCTTCCTTCTCATCATCATCTCTATATGTATCATCGGTCATTATATCTCCCAACACTTGGTTTGGTGTCATGGTGTCCAAACCACTCCTCACTAGAATAGTGACCAATGTACCAAATCTTGAAGGCAAACATCTCAAGAACTTGTGGGAGAAGTCCTTGTCCTTCACCTCTTCTCCAAGTGCTTTGAGATCATTGACAAGCACTTGAAGCCTATGGAACATCTCCGGCACACTCTCATCCTTCTTCATCTTGAAGCTTGCAAACTTCTCTTTGAGAATGTATGCCTTTGCACCCTTCACGGCTTGAGTGCCCTCAAATGATTCTTCCAACTTCTCTTCCAAGCCTCATGAGCCATCTCAATATTCTTGATTTTCTTAAATGTTCTCTCATCAATTGCATCATGAATGGCACTAAGAGCAATATCATTGTTTTGGAGAAGCACTTCTTCAGCCGCGGTGGGATTCTTCGGATCTTCAATCTCAATTTTGGTTTCTACCACCTTCCATACCTTTCTATTGATTGACTTGATATGTGTGGTCATCTTTGACTTCCAATATGGATAATTTGTGCCATCAAATTGGGGTGGCTTCTTTGTGTTGTTGATTTGAGCCATTTTTACACCGAAGGTTGTTAAGCCTCAAATCACGGTGACCTCGGCTCTAATACCACTTGAAAGGTCCTAATGGCTAGAGTGGGGGTGAATAGCCTAATAAAAATTTCTACAACAACACTTAACAAAAGGTTAGACAATTATGAGGCGAAGCAAGAGTTGCGCTAGCCTACTCAAAATGCAAGCCACCTACCACAATTCTAGTTTAGATGGAATATATCCACACAATAGCTATATCACTACTCTAAGTTAGTGTGCTCTCAAAAGCTAACTAAAGAGCCACACTAACTAAACTAACAAGCTCTCACAACTAGTTATACTAAAGAGCTTGACAACTAGTTTGTGGTAATGTAAAGAGTAGGCAAGAAGGTTATACCGCCGTGTAGATGTATGAACCAATCAATCACAAGTGTGGATAACAATGAAGACCAATCACCTCAGAATCAAATGATGAACACAATAATTTTTTACTGAGGTTCACTTGCTTGCCGGCAAGCTAGTCCTCGTTGTGGCGATTCACTCAATTAGAGGTTCACACGCTAATTGGCATCACACGCCAAACCCTCAATAGGGTGCCGCACAACCAATACAAGATGAGGATCACACAAGCCACGAGTAATCTACTAGAGTACCTTTTGGCGCTCCACCGGAGAAAGGTCAAGAACCCCTCACAATCACCACGATCGAAGCCCGGAGACAATCACCACCCTCCGCTCGACGATCCTTGCTGCTCCAAGCCGTCTAGGTGGTGGCAACCACCAAGAGGAACAAGCGAATCCCACAGCGAAACACGAACACCAAGTGCCTCTAGATGCAAACACTCAAGCAATGCACTTGGATTCTCTCCCAATCTCACAAAGATGATGAATCAATGATGGAGATGAATGGGAGGGCTTTGGCTAAGCTCATAAGGTTGCTATGTCAATGCAAATGGCCAAGAGTGTGAGCTTGAGTCGGCAATGGGGCTTAAATAGAAGCCCCCACAAAATAGAACCGTTGTACCCCTTCACTGGGTACAGCGTAGGGTGACCGGACACTCCGATCATACTGACCGGACTTTGGACCCAGCGTCCGGTCGCTCGATGTTAGCCACGTGTCACACTGCTTTCAATAGGATTCGTCTGATCTCAACGGTCATCTGTTGACCGGACGCTCCGCTACAACTAACCGGACACTGAGCCTCCTGCATCCAGTCATTTCTAGTAAGGTTCTAGAAACGTATTTTGCCAACTAGACGTGTCCGGTCATGCTTGACCGGACACAGCCAACGTCCGATCACTTGTTGACTTCTTACTGCGCTGTTGGTCAACACGACCGGACACAGCCTTCCAACGTCCGATCGCTGAGCGACCCAGCGTTCGGTCGTTTACCGACGCTGGCGTCTTCATTGCTATACATGGCCGGACGCGCCGGTCCCCCAGAGGTCCAGCGTTCGGTCACTGTATAGCCAGCGACACTAACTCCTTTTCACCTCTAACTTCTTCACCCTTGCTCAAATGTGCCAACCACCAAGTGTATCACCTTGTGCACATGTGTTAGCATATTTTCACAAACATTTTCAATGGTGTTAGCACTCCACTAGATCCTAAATGCATATGCAATGAGTTAGAGCATCTAGTGGCACTTTGATAACCGCATTTCGATACGAGTTTCACCCCTCTTAATAGTACGACTATCAAACCTAAATGTGATCACACTCTCTAAGTGTCTTGATCACCAAAACAAAATAGCTCCTATGGTTTATACCTTTGCCTTGAGCTTTTTGTTTTTCTCTTTCTTCTTTCCAAGTCCGAGCACTTGATCATCACCATGGCATCATCTTCATCATGCAATGATCTTTATTTACTTCACCACTTGGAGTGTGCTACCTATCTCATGATCACTTGATAAACTAGGTTAGCACTTATGGTTTCATCAATTCTCCAAAACCAAACTAGAGCTTTCACCGGTGTGCGTGCTCCCCAGCGGGTGAGCACGCCGCCGTCGAGCGATCTGGGCGGCGGTGGCCTGATTCCCTCCAAAAAACCATAGATCTGACCCTGATCTCTTCTCCTCCTCCTCTATCTCGGTCTTGCGATGGCACGGAGACGATGATGGCACCGTCGCCGGCCCTCTCGCCGGCGCGCGTGCTCCCAGCGGGTGAGCTCGCCGCTGTCGAGCGGCCTGGCCGTGGCGCCCTTTGCCCGAGCACCCGCCCATGCGTTGACGAGGCAGGAGCATGATGCGACGGCGAGGTAGGTCTCTTCCCCTTCCCCTTTTCTTTTCCTTTGATTTTCCTTTCTTCTTTTCTCGAATCTATCCGATTTAGGGTTGGGGATGGGGTTAGGATCGAGATTAGGGTTTGGTTAGGGTTTCACTGTTCTTCTTCCCCGTGATTGATTCATGGGTTAGGGTTCATTTCCCAATTAGGGTTAGGGTTTCAATCTGATAACGGATCAAACCCTCTGTTCTTTTCTCAGATCCGAATGGATCTAATCTGATAGGCTAGATCTATACCCAAATGAGGCTCTAGTACCATTGTTAGAGCTTGAACAGGATCTATAGGCATAGAACTAGCATGTCTACTTGCTGTTGAATAGAATCATGAACCCTAGAACATCTACTAGTGTAACGAGAGAGACAGAGAGGGGTGGAGTAGAAGATCGTGTCGAACTTGATACTGCAGAGGAGGATCCGCTCACGTCCGCCATGGAATCGGTGTCTGCGCTAGGGCAGCGACGGTCGGTGAAGACGGTGTCGGTGATGCGCGGTGGCTACTGACCGTGAAGGCAGTGGAGTCCGATGATGCAGTCCGGAGGTGGCGCAGTACTGTGGTGGAGGTGCTTCCCGTCACTGGCTGCGCCCCTCACTAGATTGGGTTTAGGGTTTGTCGGTAGGGTGCTCGGCTCAGGCGAACCTCTTGACTTGAGCCGCCGACCCCCACCTCTATTTATTGCACAGTGTGACAGGGGCCCTCCAGCCATAGTGGGCTGGGCACCCCCGATCAGGGCACGGATCAAAGGCCCAACTGGGCCGTAGGGCCTAGTTTGGGATTGGAGATCAATCTAACACGGCCAGCCCAACACCGGCAAGTCCAGCCTCGTCGCCGCCATGGCCAACTACCTCCGCTTCAACCTCTACGACCTCGAGCTCTTCGAGGTGCACCTCAACTCGACGCTGCAAAAGCTGCTCATCTACATGCCTAACAAGTCGATGCTCCTCGTCATCGAGGACATCGACTACTGCTTCGACGACGCTACCACATCGACGAAAGCCATGAAGGCGCCAGGGCTGGCTGAGTACCTAGACATGGACACCGACTACACATCGGATTCCTCAGACAAAAACTGGGCCCAGCCATGAGTCGCTCCCACGAAGCCGAAGGGCATCACTCTGTCTGGGCTACTCAACTTCATCGACAGGTTGTGGTCCACGTGCGGCGAGGAGCGCATCCTCGTCTTCACCACCCACCTAGACCCGGCGCTGCTACGACCGGGCCACATGGACATGCACGTCTACATGGGCTACTGTGGCTAGGAGGCATTCAAAACTCTGGCCAGAAACTACTTCCTCATTGACGACCACAAGATGTTCTAGGAGAAACATGAGCTGCTCTCGACCTTGGAGGTGACGCCGGCCGAGGTCTCCGAGATGCTGCTGCAGAGCGAGGACGTTGACTTGGCTCTCCGAATTCTTGCAGAGTTCCTCCGGGAGAAGAGACGAGGACGAGTGAAAGGTCTTAAGACTCCAACAAGGAACCCATATTAACACCCAAACCCAAAATAGATAGCAAGAGACCCAAAATTAGCCTCGGAGACCTATTTTGGGTTGCCTGAGAGGCACAACCCAAATATAGACATCCTCTCTCCTAAAACCCCATTTGCAGAAAAGATTCTCATTTAGGTCTTGTTGTTGGAGAAGATGCCGAATTGGTATTTAACCTTTTGTCTGTAGCACTACCCAAAGGACGAATGAGTCTTGTATCTTGGGTGTTGTTGTTGGAGATAGCCTAAGGGCATGATTGGTACCCTAGATATGCACCAGCTTGGCCCATCTCATGTAGGCGCAGTGCGTTTGGTTTCCAGGACTAGTGTTTGGGGCCTGGCCCAGCTCATGCAAGATGCCCCCCTCGGCCAGGCTGAGGAGGAACATGGTGGGAGTTCATTTCAATCGAGCCAGGCTGCAGCAATGCAACGCGAGCGCACGCACGGTCATTTTATTGGCTCCAAAGAAACAAGTCTGTATGCACTGCTATCAACCAAACACCATCCCTGTGTGGCTAGGCTATACTGAGACAAGCAACTAAACAATATGCAGATGCATGCATTGAGCCTGGCTGTCGATGAAATATGGTCGGCAGTCCACCGAGGGGGGTGCCCGTGGTGGTAGATTATCGGTAGGATGCGCGTAATCAGGAACCAGATGGTTATAGAGACACAAGACACAAGATTTATACAGGTTCAGACCGCTAGTGTGGCGTAAAACCCTACGTCCTGTGCTCTGTTATTTGTATTGATCTGGGGTGAGATATGTATGATCTTGTCCTCTAGGGGATCCCTGCCCCTCCTTATATACTGCGAAGGGACAAGGTTACAAGTAAAGTATCCAATTTGGTACAATTACAATATAGCGTCGTGCTCCGCACGTCTTCATCTTGTGGGCTGGGCCACTTCCGGTGGTGCGGCCCATGTATACCCATGAGGGTATAGGGGGTCTATTCCCCCACAGCTAGTCCCCGAGCTCCTTGTATCCTTCGAGTAGCGTTGTCTTGAGCTTGCTAGAAGGATGTAAGGGGCTCAAGATAAAATTTGAAAAATATTTCCCTCGAAGTGTGCCCACTTTGACTCTGAGTCAAAAAGAGACACCGTCGTCCTTGTAGAATCGGAGGTGTTTGAACCATCAGAGTGAGCACATTCACCGCAAGGTGAAGTGTGCCCACTTAGTTCTCGAGCCTGGTAGTAGGTGACGTAGGCACGTGGTGCCAGGGTCTAAAAAGAATTCCCAGTTAAGTTGAGAATCCAATCGTCGTACAGGCGATACAAGATGCACCGACAGGTGCATCGTACCGATGTAGTCCCTGAGCTTGCTGGAAGGCGAGGTATGAGCCTTGTAGCAAGGTCTAAACGAGAAAGAATATCCCAACTGTATGCGAGTCGCCAGTCGCATGTAGTTGAGACGCAAAGTCCCCGAGCTGTGGTCGGAGAGTGGTCGAGGCAGTCCCCGAACACAAGTCAAGGAGCGAGCGGCAGAGTCCACGAGCTGTGGTCGGAGAGTTGTTGAGGCAGTCCCTGAGCACAGGTTGAGGGGCGAGCGGCGAAGTCCCCGAGCGTAGCTCGAGATCCCTGCAATATAAATATATAGAACGGTAGTATATGATGTACAAAATAATAATTTATGGAGAAAAAATCAGTAGTGAAGAAATAGCGTATGACGCTCAGCAGTCATTTGCAAATGAGCATGATGTGATAAAGCAGTTGGTGCTTTGTAAACATCAGTGTTAAAATGAAGTTTGTGTTTATACTTTATATAAACCGCCTGACCAGTTAGCGTGTAGCTGAGTCTCTAGCCCTAGCTAGCCCATAGTCCATAACGTCGAGCACGGAGCCCGTGCACGTGTAGGAGGAACAGGCGTCGCTAAGGAGCCGCTGCCGACCACCCATAACGCAGAGGGCAGACGCTCGTGCACGTGTAGGGAGGAGCCAGAGACAGGGCCATCTCTGGAGGCATCGAGCGTCAACATGACTGGTCGAGGATTTGCATTAAGTATAGCTGTATGTTATATTTAAGATGGTATACATGGACAAGCATTATTTGAAGAATAATCATGACGAGGACGTTGTGGAGAAACATCGTAATGAAAATTGTGTTAAATATAAATATTAGAAGTGTACTTATCTTTGGATAGAAATCTGGTCGATGGCGATAAAGTTGTCCGATCCTCGTACTTTTTGGCCTGTTGTGACGGTGGTCGCGGTTGTCATAGCGCCGTTCTTCGTGGCGATCATCATTGCGACGTGGTCTGGTGGTCGAGGTGGTCGGAGCTCGGCGGAGCCGCTCGGAACATGGTCGACGTGGTCTGGTGGTCAAGGTGGTCGGAGCTCGGTGGAGCCACTTGGGACATGGTCGACGTGGTCTGGTGGTCTTGGTGGTCGGAGCTCGGCAGAGCCGCTCGGGACGTGGTCTGTGGTCGACGTGGCTCGACACGGCTCGCTCAGCGGCTCGCTTGGCTTGTCGTGGCTCGACGCGGCTCGCTCAGTGGCTCACTTGGCTCGACATGGCTCACTAGATGGCTCGGCGTGGCTCGCCTCTGGCTGAGACCGCTCGATGTTGGAGTCGTCGTATTTGGCTCCATGATGATGGATACGTGCAAGTAGACCTCACGTGTAGTTGCTTTGCTTCCTTCCGTGCAGATGTATATACGTATATACATGCTACGTATCTTGTTAGCTTTGCATGGCTTGGGTAGATCACGCGTCCTTGCTGCATGCAAAGCCGGAATTAACTAGAGCTTTTCGGATCTTTCATCTTTGTCGATGGTTGACTCGATCCGGTGCATGGTCGTGATGCTGGGCCCATCGCGCGCCGCAGCATGACTCGTAGATTGAACCCACATCGGGCCTCCTTGATTGGTCAATGATAAGTGTCGTCAGTGTAGATCCATGATCGATCGTGGTCGGGTGCGACATGCCAGCTCGTCGAGTCGATCTGCTCACACCTGCGAGATGCGTTGCGGCATCAGGTCCTTGTTGTAGGTCATCGTGGTTGCCGAAGGACGCCACCGCAATCAGTCGAGTTGTTATTGACATGTTGAAGAAGAAAATCCCATCCGATTCGTCGAAGATCGGTAGCGCACAACCCTAAAGGCCCCCCTACAGCGGCCCCACCGTCGACGAAATATGGTCGGCGATCCACCGAGGGGTGCCCGTGATGGTAGATTATCGGTAGGATGCGCGTAATCAGGAACCAGATGGTTACAGAGACACAAGACACAAGATTTATACAGGTTCAGGCCGCCAGTGTGGCGTAAAACCCTACATCCTGTGCTCTATTATTTATATTGATCTAGGGTGAGATCTGTATGATTTGTATGATCTTGTCCTCTAGGGGACCCTGCCCCTCCTTATATACTGCGAAGGGACAAGGTTACAAGTAAAGTATCCAGTTTGGTACAATTACAATATAGCGTCGTGCTCCGCACGTCTTCATCTTGCAGGCTGGGCCACTTCCGGTGGTGCGGCCCATGTGTACCCATGAGGGTATAGGGGGTCTATTCCCCCACACTGGCCAAGTATGGCTCGGCTAGGTGGTCTTGAGCCAAAGTTGTCTTTGAGAAACGAACCAATCACGCCAGTAAATCATGAGGGGGTGAATAGCCTAATTAAAAATTCTACAAAGCACTAGAGCAACTTGGTTAGTATGATAAATAGTGATAGCAAGTTTTGCCTAGCACTAGTGATTGTGTTACAAGCTACCTATCCAACATTTTTAGTCAATTATAGTCTCTATAGGTACACAATGGCTATGTCACTACTTCTACTCTAGTGAGCTAGCTAGAGCAAGACAAACAACTAATTACAACTAGCTACAACTAGAGCTACCACTAGACACGTATAAGAATGAATGCAAATACAAAGAGTGATAAGAGTGATATACCGATGCCGGGCAAGAGATATAATTCACAATATGAATACCAAATGAATATCCAAGGGAGACAAGATGACACAATGATTTTCTCCTGAGGTTCACGTGCTTGGTAGTTCGGTGGCTAATAGGTGTTTCACAAACTAGCCCAACAAATGGGCGCTACAAGAACTTACAAACAAGTGAGGGTACTCAATGACACGAACAATTTACTAGAGTAGCTTTTGGCACTCCGCTGGGGAATAAGTCCAAGAACCCTTCACAAGCACTTTGATTGGAGGTGGACACAATCATCAAATCTCCTCACCAATCAACAAATCACCAACCGTCTAGGTGACGGCAATCATCAATAGTAACAAAAAATCCACAATCACAATTACCACCTAGTGCCGCCAAATATGCAACCTCAAATACACACACTAGGGTTCTCCCCAAATCCTCTCAAGAATGAGCACCAAGCTTAGAGAGGGAGAGGAAGGGAGGAGATGCTCTTCGAGCTCACAAGATCAACACTTTGGAACATCAATCTCTCACCAAGGGTCAGCTCAAAAGCTTTGGGAGGGAGAGATGAGAGGAGAGCTTTCTTCTTCCAAGAGAATGAAGAAGAGCAAGAATAGGAAGAGTGAGTGAGAGGGAAGGAGGGGGAGTGGGGAAATACCCCAGCAGCCAGCCAGCCTCCCACTGTGCCAGGCTTGGCCACCACGGCCCATCACGCAATGGCG